GGAAAACGGAGGAAATGAAATGTATGAATGCATGGCCCTTTAGGGCTTCCGTAGGGTGGCACTTGGGATGGGTAATGAGATTTCAGGGGTGGCCAGTGCTACCCCTAACACTCCCTCTGGACACGACCCTGCTCACCACCAACCACCATAATAAAGATTACTACTAGCATTACTACTATTTATCTTACAGGACAGTACACATGAATAAATATTGCTGTAAATGAGTCAGCCAACGGACTATTTTTCATCTGTGATATTACAGTCATCAAATATATATTTAGATTAAAATAAAATAAAAAGTTTATAATAGTTTCAACATGCAGGGCAAATTAAAGATCCATTCCACTTTAATCCTTTAATACCTCCTCTAAGATTGTAGATGCCTCCAGATCAGCCAATGACAAAATTCAAAAGCCAGTTTTAACCGGTAAAGGGTGGTCGCAAAATACGTAGAATTCAAACACACTAAAATGTTGTGAAAATGACCTGAATCAACAACACTAGTAAATACCCAGATACAGAGGTTTGGGGGTTTAGTTACTCTTTAACCTGTTAAAGAAACCCAACATAAACATTTTCTTAGTGTTTCAATGTGATGTTTAAAATGAAGATCTTGTACCTTGTGCTACATTATTAGGCGCTAATTGAAACATGCAAAGCAGACAGTACACAGACATAAAATACACAATAAAGCCAAGAACACAATATAAGACGTGCACAGACAGTGAAAATGTCTCGCCACCTGTAGCTGCTATTTTGTGGCTGCAAACATTCACTGTTTAAAGGATCAGAATCGGAGGATTCTCTGAGTCACCACACAGATCCTTTCTTATACTGGGTGTAATCTCTCTCATGCACCGACTGTCTGCTTTTTATCGCTCTCTTTCTCTCAGCGCCCCCCCACCCAACCCTGAAGGCCCACAGCATACCCCCCCTCCTCATCCCCCTCTCCCCTCTTTCTCCAAATCCCGCTATATCCCAGGCAGGTAAGTAGAGCTCTGCTGTGGGCTTAATGAGCTGAGGAAGGGGCCCTGCTGGAGAAGACCAGCGTGATCACTGCTACCTCTGTTCCCATTTAGGGCCAGGTTTCGCTTCACAGGACACAGAGAGAGAGAAAAAAAGAGGGGGGGGGGATAATAGAGCAAAAGAAAACGAAGAGGTAGAGGGAGTGACTTTAACAATGCCAAAGTAATACCATCCACCTGCCGCCTTGCCCATCTGTTTCTCTTTCTTTTCCCTCTCCCTTCATCACCCACAACTTCATCATAATTCATCCCCATCTCTCTCCCTGCAACCCTGCCACAATCACTGTATCTCTGTTTTCTTATGTGGCTCTTCAGGATTGGACAAGCTTCATTACCCCCACTTTGATGTATTTCTTTTTTCCTATTTTCCACCCTTCCCTCTCCATTTTCCTCTGCTCGTTTCAGCTCTCAGGTTTGTGGCTCTAGAAATTCTATCTTCTTGTGAGAGCTGTGTTGTTTTTGATCTTTTTTTTATCTCATTTGTTGTATCGGGATTTATATTTCTTCATCAGTCACTGCTGCAATATATTTTAGATTCATTTTTACAGTCATGTTCAATCATACCTTTACCTTATTTGACCCTCTTCATGCATGTAAGTGGCTGACAGGCTGGCAAGGTTTGCATGTGGATGGCTGCTAGATCGACTTTATAATTATATAATAATTAAGTGATCGGTTGCCTGATGGTTTGGCTCAAATACACGATTGGACATCTGTCTGAAATGTGTTTTAGATAGTATGAACACACCATCTTCATAAAGGATTACATAACTGTATGTTTGTGTGCATCTGTTCTGCCTATTCTGAAAAAAATTCACAAATTACTGTAGATGGACCACTGCCCTGTATCTAGAGCACGGACCACTGCCCTATGTCCACAGAACTGACCTCTACCCTGTTGGACTTCATTAAAATGTATGAAATAAAGTTAATATTAATTGTTACAATTATATTAATCAAATAGACAGCACAGACCTCTGCCATGAATCCTTATCAGAATAGTAGAGGTACATATCCTGTATCTGTAAAAGTTTTAAGCTAATGGGATATCAGCAGATATTTATTTCTTTAACACTTGTTGGTCTGTCCTGATGTAACATTCACTCTTTTATGTTTGTGTTGTTTGACCTTTTACAAAAGTTGGTTGCATCATCAGTGTTGAGCAAAAATGTGAATGTTAATGTGCCCTCTTCTGTCTTCTGTATTCATATATTAGGTGTTAAAGACCAGACTGTATGGAGTCTTTATTACACCGGAGGATTAAGCCCAGAAACTCAGATATTATAATTCATGTTGACTTTATTTCCAAGTACATTAAATGCAATGCTTTCATGTTCACATTTATGTACATGAATTGCAGTAATCAATCCATAAATTAATGTTATACATATATATACACACACAC